CAAACCTCGGTTTTCTGAACGTCTCAGTTTTCGACCAAAAATTTCGAGTTTTTTATGCCTCGGATGACGAACAAATTTCTGTTCTCGAACAAACTGAGCGTACTTCAATGCACCACTTGACTCCTCTTGCCTTCCTTACACGAGGAAATGACGCTTCCTCAGGTAGACGAGGAAGTGACGCTTCCTCGTGTCGCTTTCCATTGTGAGCAGACGTGTTCAATAAACTTTTTTTTAAAAAGAGCTTGGTTTCGGTTTTCGAACAATTTCGGTTTTCGAACAGCCTTCTGGAACGGATTATGGACGAAAACCGTTTTCAGACTTAAAAAAATAATAATAAATAATTTTCTTTTATTTTTTTTAATGTTTACTGTATTTTGTTATTCATAAACTAACCTAACTTATACATGTTTAAATCTATTCGTATACAGCATTAAGTCATGTTTATTACTTCAAAATTTACTTCTACATGCATGTATACCATTAAATTTGGCCTTTATTATGTACTTGTACCTATATGGAGGGGTGGGGGGTCGCTACTTTGCGGATTTTCGTTTATCGCAGGTGGTTTTGGTCCCCGTTAACCGCGATAAACGAGGAATTACTGTAGTGCTGTCAAGCGATTAAAACAATTGTGAAATTAATTAATTATGATCTGTAATTAATCGATCTAATTAATCTATATTTGAATCTCATCTAAAAAGTGCTAAGAAACCCCCTATTTTCATTTTTAATTCATTACATTATTGAGGCAGATCAAAAGACAAAAAAAAGTGGCATTATAAAGTCTTTCATTGTTTGTAAACAGATTTGAACAGATGCAGTTCTAGCCATTCACTTGCTGCTGTAGTTGAGACGAGTCCCAAGTCCTACCTGCAACTTTTAGTTTTGACCACCAGGGTGAATATCACCGTTTTGTTTGTTTTTTGTAAATCTCCAAATAATTACAAAATGAAAATAAAAATAGAACATCAGGTCCATAAAAAGTGCTTAGGTTAACATATCAAAAACAGTAACTAATATGTCTTTGTCAATATAAGTCAATATGTGTTGTCTCTTTCAGCTCATATATCTGCAAACATCGGCTCTAGGCCGGATTCCCCCGTTGAAAACACAGATCCAAACTCAGTTCCTACTGAAACTCCTTCAAAACATGCTGAAAGCAGCAGCAGTGACATGAAAGCTCCAAAAGAAAAAGGGAGCACATCCAGCAGCCAGGTACATTTGCTCAAGTCCTCAATGAATGTATTCAGAATTGGTGGTTTGTCTTCGGAAATTTTTATTTCCTCATTCTAAAACCTGATCTATTTTTAAATCCCCCACCCCACACTTTAATGTTTAAGATCATCGAACAAATGTTGATTTCAGACAAAGAAAGCTGAAGTAAACATATAATGCAGTATTTAGAGCAATACACTCGCACCATGTTTGACTGATGATCTTCTACTTGAAATGCTGTACAGTATTGTTACTTTTGCTCCAGATGTAAGGAGACATGCACCTTCCCAAAAAGTCCAAATTTCACCCAAAGACTTCCATTCAAGTCTCTAAATGATTCTCCCCAAAATCTTGGGAAGCAAATGTGATTTGCAAAAATGAGATAAACCTTTGTTTTTATTTTTGTTGTCATTTTTGCCCAGTCTCTTTGTCATTGTTGAGTCATGAAGACTGTTGACGGGCACGGTGCCAGGATTGTTTTGTTTTTCAGTGAAAGCATTCCAAGTAGCATGAGCATGTCCATTATAACAGGAGTTTTAATTGAATTTGACCAAAGGACATTACACAAGGAACAAAATATAATACAAGTGACCACAGGTCAATGGCAAAATCTTCAGCCTAAACACTGCAACATACTGCAATGCTTTTGAATTGCCCATTATGCTATGTAATGAGTGGAATCCCCTTGTGATGTAAACTGCAAGCCTCTGTCATGTTTTGAGGCTGCCCACATTGAAGTGTATCACTTTTTTTACTCCATAAAAAAAGAGTTTTCACTCAGGGAAGATGCAGTTTCTTACAAAAAGAGGACATTGATGAGAATTAAAGGAAATTTAAAATTAAAATTGGGATGTATTGAAGGTGGGGCTCAATCCTATTCACTTGAATGGAACTGAAACGATGTGGTTTGTGTGCCACTCAAGTACATTTTTACCATAAGGATTGCTCTGTTTTCCACAAGTAGATACACATGTAGATACATGTGTATTTCTGTATTTTTATTTCTTGGCAAGGTCTCAGGGCAGCCCAGTGGTCCAGTGGCTAGGGTGTCGACCTCACAGTGCAGAGGTACTGGGTTCAATTCCGGCTCCGGCCTCCCAGTGTGGAGTTTGCATGTTATCCACGGTCCTGCGTGGGTTTTCTCCGGGTACTTCGGTTTTCCTCCCACATTCCAAAAACTTGCATGGCAGGCTGAATGAATGCTCTAAATTGTACCAAGGTGTGAGTGTGAGCGTGGATGGTTGTTTGTCTGTGTGTGCCCCCGCGATTGGCTGGCACCCAGTTCAGGGTGTCCCCCGCCTACTGCCCGAAGAAGGCTGGGAGAGGCTCCAGCACCCCCCGCAATCCTTGTGAGGAGAAGCGGATCGGAAAACGGATGGATGGATGGATGGCTAGGTATCACTGTTAAAACCGGAAATTGGTTTGTCATCTGTGTGGAAGCTTTTGTACATTTTGATTGGGTATAATTTGCAACATCACCACATTGCGCAACTGGAATTCACATTTTGTCAAACTTTCTTGTTAATTTCTAAGGGGTCAGACGTTACACCAAAATTGGTTTCGACACTTGGAGTTAACTGGGATGCAGGCGTATGACACTATCAGTGAGCCAGCATTTTTTTAATTATATCTCCCCAATGATGAAATTTTTGATCTTGAAAGAAGTAGCAGCCTGATGGTATTTGATGCCCCAAAATTATGTCAATGGGTTGGTGTAGGGTGGAAGATTTTGAACTTACGGTCAATATGTAGCTGCTGTCTGCTTGACTGGATCCCTCCTTCTTTAATACGGATGCACAATAGACATTTTTGTTGATGAGCGGTGGTGTAAAGGAAGGAAGATTTTGCCATTTGCTGTTGATATACAACCACCACAACAATGGGGAAATTCCAATATTTTCAGGGTCATGGCTCGCAGTAGCGTATTGTTAAAAAAAACAAAACTCTGAACTCGTTCATATTTGGAATGATAAACTTAGTTCAATTTGTTTTATAAGCAGTACAGTATGAAGTATGAACTGAACAAGTTCATTAAAAAAAAAACTGAACTGAACTTTGAACTAGTTGGCGGAGACAAGCAACTTTCCGAACACGGGCTGTATTTTATTTTCATTGGAATCTTTTTTTCAGCGCCAAAAACTTTTCAGTGTTCACTTTTAAGTGTTTCTACGTTACCAACACAAATTTTCAGGGTCAAAAACGGCAGTGTTCTCGCTCCATCTCGTTACTGTGTTCTGTTTCAGGCAATAGATAAGGCCACACTCAGCAATCTCTTGCCTGAACAGCTCCTGGTTGAAATCCTAACAGAGAGGTTTCAGGTAGGATGACGCTTGTGATTACACAACTGTTTGTATTGTACTTTGACCACAGAACTGATATATTAATCACTGCTTCTTTTTTATTTTGTCTCCTCCTGTCATGCAGTTCGATGACTGCTATTGTGGCATCATAATTCATGGTCTTGATTCAGTCTACACCAAGTCTGTGACATACTCTCTTCAAGTTGTTCTCAAGGCCCTTAAGAACCGGAAACATATTTATGTGATCAACTTAGTTGACACATACAGTGCCCTAAAAGCTCGGAAAAGGGCACAAAAAAAAGCTGAAGGTAAATTAGCATGCACAACTACTTATTCGCTAATGAGAAGGTTTAATCATTTTCAGGATAAGCAAGGAGCAATAGTTTACAATACTTATGATAGTTGTCAGTGAACCTGATGCAATGATTATTTATCGTAATGTTCAAATTATTACGTGTGTGTGTGTGTGTGTGGGTGTGGGTGTGGGTGTGGGTGTGTGTCACGGTCAGATGCCATGCTGAAGGAAAAAGCACTACTGGAGGAGGAGTGGCTGCAGAACATGGATGAAGAGGAATACGAAGCTCTGCCAGAGGAAGAGAAGGAGCGTATTATTGAACGACAGAAACAAAAGAAACTCAAGTAATGAGGGAGTAAACACAGCCTTCTCCCAATTTCACAATATAAATCAGTATCTTCATGAATTATTGATCTGACATTAACATGAAACACGACGTGTTTCTGTCTGTCAGAGTTCTTGAACGAATCAGGAAAATGCAGAAGGACAAAAAGCAACAAGATGAAATGAAGAAACTCCGACTAGATGAGTTAAAAAAGAAGAGTAAAAAGGGTACAGTTAAGGAAAGCAAACAAGCGTCAAGGAAGAAGGGTTCCGTGGAGAGTAAGCAGGTCTGTGAATTTCTTTCAAAAACAAACATTCAAGCTCACAAGAGGGGGACTGAAATACACTCGAAAGTATTCCAATCAGCCGGCGTGTGTTCAGTGAGATTATTTGATAAAACAGCTAATTCTTGAATTTGTAATCATGCATTGTCAGTGCCTGTAAAAGGAAAGGAAAAGAAGCGGCTCTGAGATGGCAGCCTGTTACAACAGCTTGGCTAACTTTCTCCTTTAATTTTACTTCTCCATCCTTCCATGCTATTGTAGTTATTTGTTTTGCATTGTGCTGAACTATTATGCACAATTTACTGTGATTTTGTTCTAGCAGAGAATATTGGCGCTTGTACTGTAGTTATGTGTGCCTGGGAATCGTCAGCCCGTCGAAATAGTTCTGTTAACTTCGGAGATGGTTACTGCTAAATTCAAATACAGCGGTCGGCAGGAATGTCGGCCCGGATGAGCTTACTTGGGGATATTTTTGGCACAAATTTGTCAGCAAATCAAAGAAGGGGTTCCCCAAGTCGCAGACAAAAAAATATATATATATATATATATATATATATATATATATATATAAATATATATAGTAATCCAATTTCAAATGGTTTTGTCCCTTTAGTCATCTAGTGCAATGGCCGCTCCTCGAATGCCATCTTCAAAAGAATCCCTAGTGGACAAGAAAGATCAACCTTCAAATGACGGTGCCAACACATTTACAGAATACCTGCAAAACTATATTAATTTGTGTATTAGCAAAGTATGATTATGTCTATGTTGTATTGTCTTGTCACTTCTCTTTATTGATGCAGCAAAGCAAGGCAAAGAAGAAAAGAGTAAAGAAGACACCATGAGAGACATGCAGTCTGATCCAGCAGCAGAAATGGTAGGTTTACTGTGACCAGCGTAGGTTGTAGCCCACCTCTCGGACCCAAGTCAGTTGAGATTGGCTCCAGCACCCAAATAAGGATACATGTTCTAGTCGATCGATCCATGGATTGTAGAATTTTCAAATAACTGTCAAATCAATTTACTGAGGCTTCATTTCTATTATTTGTGTCATCTTTTTGCCAAGCCTACGGTAGATAAACTGCACGGAATGTTCAATGCATATGAAAAGTGCCAGACCCAAGTGGACCACATTCTCCATCACTGGGACCGTGAGAAGGGCTTGTTGCGGGTCCCACTACCTGGTCAGGAGCCTCCGCAATCCCAAGAGGAGCACCCAGCAGAGAAGCAGGTCCCGGTACTTGTTTTGCTGTTTTATTTTTAGATCTAATGTATATATACACATTCGTAAACAGATGAACTGATACTCTCTGGATTTGACAAATTCCATGATCCGAAACGTTCACTCTTCCGACAAAACTCATCTTCATAATTCAATGGTCCTTTTTCACAGGCCCCTGCAGCAAGGAAGAGCAAAAAATCCACCAGCAAGATCCCGTCCCCAAGCAATCAGATGGAGCCAGCCAAAGCAGAAAAGGCAGCAGAGAAACCAGTCATTATCCCTCACATTGTTCTTAAACTGGCAGGCAAAGACTATCCAGATGTATTGGAATTGCTCCGAAGAAAAGACCTGCCTCCACTACATGAGGTGGAGCCAACAAATACCATTTTGTTGCCTGCATTTATCATTCATCATGCTCGTATAGTTCCTGTTCTTACCTTTGGGATTCCCTCTTCAACTTCCATAGGTACTTGATGAGCTTGGTTTGGGAACGGGCGCTCTTTCTATCCCTCCACCTATTATCTTCTCAGTGGTCCATCTACCCAAAAATAGGGAGCGGAATAAAAGACAACTGAACTGTAACTGTTTTACCTTTCTGAGTCGTTCTGCCGGAGATGAACGAGATGAGAGAAAAGAGGAAGATGATGAAGATGTACAATCGATCAAGGTAAATCTATAAATGCAAATTCAGCATTTTTATGGCGAGTGGAATTTCTGAAGGACACACGCATTAAACAGAATTTGCAAAACATTGAGATCACCATGTTTATGATCAATCAATATTTTTCCCTCTGTGTCTTGATAAAAGGTTTCTGATATTCTTCTGTAAAAATACGTAAAGGATCACGAATTTCAGCATATTTCATACTCTATGTTGTCACAGTCTTGTTGGAATCATTCAGCTTTGGGAGGGTGGTTTTGTCTCACGCAAATCATGACATTTGTTACTATAACGATGAAGGAAGGAGCCATTGTATGCCGTTGTGATGAAGCAAGAGCTCTCTAGTGACCTTTAAAAAAAAGTGGTGTTGTTGAGTCTGGAGCTTCTGAGACTCCTTCCAATTCAGATTATGCATGTTGGTGTTCAAGAGGCCTTCTGCACAAGTTGGCCGTAGTCACGCATGATTTCACTTCGCTTTCAGCAAATTTCAGGGAGTGCTGATGGACGATTTACTGCCATTGCTGTTTTTTTTGGCATCATCGCGAAGCTAACTTAGTGTGTGTTAGCATGTCTACCCGTTTTAAGACCTTTGTAATGTGATTTCATTTGCCAATTGTCCATTTACTTTCATCAACACTTAGAGGTGGTTCAAGTTCATGCACTGCTATCATTTCAATACCGTTATCAAGGTACTTTATGCAGGTATAGTAGCATCAAAATCAAAATTTTATTATTGCTTCTCTGCCGTCTCTGATAAGGCTATTCTTGTCGCAGTGCGGTGTGGTTTGAAATAACAATTAACCTTTCATCCACCAATAATAATAACCTGTAACCTGATAACATGATAAGCTGTCCACTGTAGTGACCGCTGTCCCTGAAAGGGTTAAAATAAAATTCAAAGCATTTTCCAGGTTTATTATGGGTTCTTCTTTCATCAACAATAGGCTACCACCAATTTTGTCCAAATGTATTTGTGGATACAACCAATCGAAAAGGGAATTGTCCTTTTTAAAGGAGACAAGAGGAACGTGTCCCCTTTTCAAATGTAAATATCATGCTGACTGTCAAGGTACCCTTGAGCAAGTAGTACGTGTGCCGCATCACACTGCCATCTTTCCTTGCATGCCTGATTGTGTGTGGTCTCCTCTGTGTTGTATGATGTTAAAATAAAAGGAAATAAATAAAATTACATTTCTGTATTGATGTATGTTTTTGTGTCTTACAGACTCCAAAAGGTCGCAGAGCAAGTGCAAAGCTTATGAAGGAAAAAGATAAGAAGGGCAGAGAGAGTCAGAAGAGTGTAAAAAGGCCTGCTGCCCTTCCAAAAGCCAAAGGTTTGGAACAAACTTTAACTTCGGCACTTGCTTCTTCCACAACTGATCTCGCGGAACAAGATCCCCACCATGCAAGTGTGGAGCAGAAACGCAACCAGAGGTAAAACAACAACAAACAATAACTTTTTAAATGAGATTTCATCTTTCATTGTCTTCTTTTAAAGCTTCCAAAGGATCAGTTTGCTGTTTCCTTAATGTATACACATACAGGTTTTTCAGTTGTACGCTATATTTGTATTATTTCATTTACCGTAAATGTGGTTGTGGATGATAATAATGAATGTTACTGTGGATTACAAATTGTTGTGTAATGTGCTACAGCGGCAACTTCAACCCACCTTGAATTGGTTGCTTGCCAATCTCAGGGCACACTGAGACAAACAACCATTCATGCTCACAATCACACCAAGGGACAATCTAGAATGTTCCATGAGCCTGCCATGCATGTTTTTGAATGCGGGAGGAAACCGGAGTACCTGGAAAAAAACTCTATGGGCACGGGGAGAACGTGCCAACTTCACACAGGAAGGCCAGGTCCAGAATCGAACCCTGGACCTCCGCAATGTTAGGCGAACATGCTAATCAGTTGATCACTGTGCCGCAAATTTACTGTATATATATATTTTTTGTATTTATTGACTGTATTTATTGTATAAAGGCTACTGTGTGTAGTAATGAACATTTGTATCTCTCTCTCTCTCTCTCTCTCTCTCTCTCTCTCTCTCTCTCTCTCTCTCTATATATATATA